GGAAGTCCACCTGGTGCAGTGGGCAGGGGGCCTGGACACTCCTGCCCAGAGGAGCTGGGGAGGAGGCACACCGGCCTCGTTCAGGGAAACGGAGGGAAACAGTGTCTCCTTGTTCCTCTGAGCACCCATCTCGAGCTCCTTCTCAGTGAAGGCCCACCTGACCTTCCCTGTAGGGTGCAGGCAGCAGACATGGGGGCCGCTAGCCAGCTGAGTGGCAGATGCTGAAGGCTGTGCAGGAGGTCCCTTCCCTGCCAGAATGCAGCCCTGCAGGAGGGGCAGCAGAAGGGGCCCCAGGCTTGGGTGCTTCCCGCCTGCAGGTTTCCCTGGGCAGGAGCCTCATTCCTTCTGGTAAGAGATTTGCATGGCTGGCCCTGGGCCCGGCACTGCCACGCTTCAGGTTCCCCTTGGCTGCTGCCTTCCTGGAAGGCTCTCCCTGGGCCTGGCCTGCTGCACGTTCTCATTTCAGTGGATGTGGTGATTAGGCGCTCATGGAGTTCAGATTTCTGCCAGGGACACGGGGTGCTACCCTGCTGAGGAGAATTGAAGTCTTGCAACTGGGGAACCTAGGATGTTTCACTGCCCCTTGGACCACTGGAGAAAGGGGTGCAATGTTGCTCAGCAAGGCTATGGGGGGCCGGCCCCAGGAGGGTCTGGCCCTGTGAGGAGAGGGTCCAGTGGAGCAGAGGGTCCCGACTGTGAGGAGGAGGAGGAAGTGGGCTGTCCGGGGAGACAGAGGCTCTTTGTCTCTGTGGTTCTTTGTAATTGGGCAAGCTTTAGCCACAAGGCATATTAGTTAATAAAGCCACTGCTTTCCTGCCTGCCACCCTTCAGCTGAGCTCCCTCCCGTGGCAGCCCCCACCACCCCTAGACACGCCCAAAGACTCTCAAGGACCTTGGGCTTTATGCAAGGGGCCAACTTGGGGCCAACGTGAAGGCCTTGCTCCGGAAACCACGGTCTCTACGATGGGATCTGTGAGGACCAGGGCTGGCCGAGACGCAGGGAGCTCTCGGTCCATCCCCTCATCCTTGCTCACTTCCTGCTCTCTCTTCAAGGCGGTCAGCAAAGGAACAATCAATAACAATAAGGGATCACTGGATAAGGGTTAGGGGCCAGTGGCAGATTTCTAGGTCTGCCACTGACCTGCTGTGTGACCATGGATGAGCTGCTTGGCCTGAGTCCCCTCATCTGGGAAGCAGGTTTAATGAGGCACTTTGTGGTGCTTCCATGAGGACCAGAAGCCACAGCTGATGTGCAGAAGGGGCTGGACAGTGCCTGGTCCACAGAAGGGGTTCAGTACTTGCTGATTCTCCTTCCTGCTGAGAGCAAGAGTGGAAGATATCCCTGGGCCTCAGTCTCTGCAGCCTGAGCTCTCGGAAAGTTCCAGGTCCTGGGAAGAGACAGCCCCTGGCTGTGGGCCTGGTGGGAGACCAGGGCTAGCAGTTCCGTCTCTGCATCTCACTCACTGGGTGAGCACAGGAAACCCTCAGTTTATCTGTTTTTAGAGGGAACACTGACTTTCTTCACTCACAGAGCTGTTGTTAAGAGTTGCATGAGACCAGGTGACTGACAGCTCTGTTTGGAGTGAAAAGTGCCATCCAAATGCTAAGGATTATTATCTTGCCTCTCTCCTAGGATGGCTTCCCTTGCACCCACACACTAACGTGGGCGATGCACGCCTCCAAATGATGACAAACAAGGCAGTGGCGTGCTGTAACCTGGCTCTCCAGGAGGGAAAAATGCCCTGATTTGTAGCATTTGCTAATTTCCATGATGCAAATACTCCCACCATGACTGGTTTCAAGCTACCAATGGCTTCATGACCCACCACAAAACCCCTAACTATTTAGCAAGTGGCTCTCTTCCAAGCCAGTAATCTTAGGCCGCTGGCAGGAGGAGGAAGCAAGGCCCAGGTGGCCCAGCGGAAGCCCGTGTGAGCGGAGGTCCAGGGAACTCCTTTTTTCCTTTATTCCATCTGAAGCTGGTTCTCCCCAAATCCCACACTTCCTTCCCAACACTCCTTTTGGGGTTGAAGCTGGAGGACTCCATGGAGGACAGGGTGTGAGGTTTACTGCCCATCTGTGGGGAGGGCTTAGCTTGGGCCCGTCGGTGAGCTGGCAAAGGGTCACTGTGTGACTCTCGGCAGGGGAGAGGGAGCAGGTTGTGGGGGAAGAGGGTAGCCTCCCTCACCTGCCTGTGAAACACCTGCTCCTGCCGTTCGTTACACGCTGGTGTGTCCCACAGCCACCTTGTTTGTGCTCCTCATAGTCATGCCATGCCACCATCGCAGCATTTGGAAAGCTACATTCTGCTTCCTGCACGCTCTTCAAGATCTGGCCCAGCTCCTGGCACATCGGAGACATCCCATAGATGGATGTCGAATTAATGGGTAAGTTAGCAACTCAGGCACACAGGTTCTGGGCCGGCCCAGCAGAGCCAGCCCTGGCCCTGAGTGTCTCTGAGACTTGACATATTATAAGCAGAATCCTTTGCCTCCTCCTGTGCCTTCTCCTCACTCAATCATTCATTCAACCAATATCGATCATCAGGTGCCCATCACGCATACAGGGCTGGCCGGCAGGAGGATTTGCGGATGCCTCTGAGGCTCCTCATTGGGTGGGTTTGCTGGGAAGTCGTGGGAGATATGAGAGAAGGTGCAGGCCTGGAGGGAGCGGATGAGTTCCATTTCAGAGGCATTGAATTTAGGTGTCTACTGGACCTGCAGGAGGTGCTGTCCAAGGCAGATGGACACCTGGTGTGGGGCTCAGGATAGAGGAGGTGACTTTGTTAATCCTTCTTCCAAATCTTTCTGCCCCTTCCCGCATTGTACCATGAGCTCCTGAGGACAAGGACGGACCCCTGTTCTCTGTGTCCCTCATGGCACCCATCAGGTCTGCATGAATGGGCGAATGTTGACAAGGGATCAGTTAAACTCAACTCAACTTCCTGTCTTCTGGGCAGACCCACCCTTACATCAGCTTCATCTGCAGATGGTCTTGGACGGCTGCTCCGCGTGTCCAGCTGAGCACATCCCTGGCCTGGGGCTCAGCCATTGCCTGCAGACACAGCATAAAACGAGTCTGCCCTGTTATCTACCCTAGTCCTGCTTCCAGGGCACCTCTTAAGCTCAGCCTCTTGGTTGTGGGCCCAGGGTCTCTGTGTTCTTGCCAATGCTGTAATAGACATGAGAGGCTCTAGAGGCCTCTGACCTCCAACTCATCCTTTTGCTAATCTGCACTCAGAGACAGAGACATGGGTGTGGGACATTTCCTAATTCGTTTATAATCATGAAAAGGCAAAGCTAATTTAGGTACAAAGATGCTCAGTGCTCCTGAGAATTAGTCAATTTTGTATTTCTTCATTATTTTTGAAATAGCTTATTGCAATTATTGATGAAAGCAACTTTTACTGTTGCGATACTGTATTTCCAAACAGTGAGAGACCGTGGATCTGTCACCCCAAAACCCAGCTGGTAATTCTAGTGCTGAACCCAGGACACTACTCTGGTGCACAGCAAGCAGGATTCCTGATCAGGCCCCACTCTCGTGCCTTGGCAGGATCCATGCCCAGGGCGGAAGGGCCCCACAGCCTCCTGGCAGGCCTCAAAGATTTGGGCTGGGTCTGCTCCTCCATGGCCGGGGGCCTGCTGCAGCCCACCCCCGGCAGAGCTGCCTCCTGCTCATCTCCTCTAGGTGATGCTTTTTGTACCAAGCAGTCTAAGCGAAGAGTCAACACCAGCTTTTCAGGTCAAGCAAATTTCAGAATAATATGTTGGCCAGACTGACCCGTCAAGAGGAGGCCTTCAGGTGACCTGTGATTTTCCTCTGTTAGGACCTTACTGCCTCACTCAGTATCCCTCAGAGCCAAGCTCAAATCAGATCATACAGGGCGACCTGTCCTTTCTTAGGTCCCCAGTGTGTCCCACTGCAAGAAGGGCACCACACTCGATGTGCCAGAGACGGACGTTTAGTTTGCTTCCGTTGGGTTCATGACACGCAGTGCTGCCCTGGAATTCTTGCACGTGAGCCCATGTGAGTCCTGGGAGTGACTCACGAGATGGCTCCTTAGAAGCAGAATTTTAGCTGTAGAATTTAAAAACAGCTTCCTGAAACAGGGTCAGCTTACATATTGAGGACAAAATATGACATTTATCAAAATGAGACTCCCATCCCCCACCTCATACTGCCACAAAACAAAAACAAAACAAGCGGTAGGACAGCCGTCTCATTGGCAACTGAGCAGACAGGGAGACAGCCGTTGGGCACCGGGTGGTGGTCGTTCCCTCTGAAACCTCGGGCTCTGTTTTCTGGGAGCTGTACTGTGTTCTTGGTAGGTCTGAGAGGGACCGCACGGGCAGCCTGGGTCAGACTCTGGGCAGCCTCTGTTCTCTCTGCCAGCCGTCCCAGGCTGCTGCTGACCTCAGACCAAGGCAGTTGGGTCCTCTTTAGAGCTCCAGGCTGCCTGCTGCCTCAGGATGGAGGCGGATGCACCTGCCCTGACTGGCTCCTGGGCACTTTAGACACCATCTGCTCAAGGAAAGGGCAGTCTCACAGTCAAGATGATCCACAAACATTCACCTTAGGACCCCCACTCTGTCCAACCCTCTAGGACACACGGAGACCAGAAGGAGGACAAAATTCAGGGACTGCGCTTGTGACTCAGCAGGGGCTTGCAGACTAGTGGGAGAGAAAGAACATCCCAACATCTAGGCAGCACCAGGGCAGACTTGGGAGGTGGGGTGTGGGGCTGGGTTTTCTCTCTCGAGTTGCCAAGCCTTGCCTAGGCACCATTCCTTCTCCCCTCCTCCCTCCGTTCCCTCCCCCCAGGGTTCTTTGGCCTCAAGGAAATAGTAGGGGGAGGGGAACTGGGTTGAGAAGCAGGTGCCTATTGGGTCACAGGGCAGGGCAAACCCGGTGAGGTCACCAAGCCCTAGATAAAAGGGTGCAGAGCCGGCGCAGGTGGCAGAGGCTTCCTTCGCTGGAGTCGCCTCAGGACCCCAGACATGAAGCTCCTCTTCCCAGTTCTGCTGTCCCTCGGGGCCCTTGGTGAGTGCAGGTACCTGGGGACGCGCCCGGTCCTGTGGGCGTCCTGCTCTCTGCACCCCGCCGGTGGGTGAGGGTCCCAGTCCCTGCGCCCCACCAGGTGGGCGTCCGGGTCGCAGCGCCACGTCGGGCTGGCCCCCAGCGCCTGCAGCCGAGGAGGCGGCCGTGGGTGGGGCGGCCCCGGGGCCGAGTCCCGCCCGCCGCCTGCCGCCTGGGGGGAGGTGCCAGGTCAGGGCTCCTGGCGCGCCTGGAGCTCCGCAGAGCTTTTCAAAGGGCCTGTCCCCTTTTGTCCTATTGGGATCTTTGGTACCCTTAGTACTGTATGCGTTAATTTACATGGGAGGAAAATGAGTCTCAGAGAGGGTGAGTGACCTGCCTGAGACACACAGGAGACCGGAGTCCAGGTCCCAGCTCCTGCAAGGACTGTGTAACTTGGACAAGACAGAGCCTTTCTGAACCTTAGTTTCTTCATTCAAAAAACGGCCCCAACATCTTCCCACAGAGCTGTGAGGAGGAGGCGGGTCCCATATGCTCAGTGGTAGGCGAAGGTGTACACCAGGCTCCGCCCGCAGAGGGGCAGTGGGGCTGGCACAGACCCTCCTGAAGGGACCCCTCTGTCAGAGGGTGTGAGAGAGAGATGATTGACTTCTGGTTTTAAGTGTGCCCAGACTAGAAGGGACTAAATAGAAGGGACGGAACAATTGTTAATTTTGTATCCGAGTGTCTGAAATAATTTCTGCGGTGCTCAGAGGGCACTGGCCAGTATGGACGGTGGTGGTGTAAAGGTGTGAGGGCAGGGCCTCCTGCAGTGGAGGGTGAGGGGCTGGGCAGCAGCAGAAGGGGCTGATGGGCACCAGCACCTGGGCAGTGGGTGGTCAGAATGAAAGCCCCGGTGTCCCCTCCCCCTCTGCCAGTGCAGCCTCCACTGTCTCGGGGCATCTACTCGGGGCTCAGGGCTTCCTGTATGGAAGGGGGTGGTCAGAGAGCAGCAGTGAGCTTGTGCCCCCAAACCTGTGCCTGCCTTCTGGTCCCCTTCTCCAAATTCCTTCCCAGGGGTGTTGGCCACTCCTCTCTTCCCTAAGGCAGGATCAGGCCTGGCCAGGACCTTCTGCTCCCTGACATCTGGCCTCCCGGGCCCACAGCACAGGGTTGGGGTCACCTGGGAGTGGCCTGAGAGATAGGAAGCCTTGCTTTCCTGGAGGGGGTCACGTGCCGGGGTCCAGGACCCTGACTCAGAGCTGTACCCCGGGTTCCATTTTCTCTTGTACCTTGGGGTGTCTTGGCCCCCACAGAGGCCTGCAGTTTAAATCCTGCAGCCAGTAGGATGGTGGCCAGCATCCCAAAGTGTCCTGAAATCTCGTCCGACCCTGAGGAAGGTTGGCTGCCCGAGGGGATTCCTGCCCTGCTCCCCGTGGGTGTCCTGGCCTGCAGGGTTGGGTGGAGTGAGAAGAGCGACTCCATGCCAGCCCTTGCCTTTGAGGCTAGGGCACTGCGTGTCTGCACAGAAGGAATCTGAGGACGTGTCCTTTCAGGAAGATTCCATCCAGGCTCAGATGGGCAGCATCTGAGTGGCTGACACAGTTCAGTTGCTGGGTTGGTGTTATAGGAAGGGCCACACTCAGAACTGCTTCAGGGAGCACTTGGTCTTGACGGGGAGGCATAGCTTTGGAGCTGGATGGTGAGGGCTGTGGGAGGGGATGAAGAGAGTGATGTCTTCTGCACCCAGGCCCTGGGGTTTGGGTCTTGGAAAACCCCTCAGTGGTCCTTTACTCTCCTCGTCACGCCACCCAGGGGAGGAGGAAGGGAGCTCTGCCCCAGGTCCCCTATTCCTGCCACTGCTTGTACCCCCCAACCCTGCTTTGAGGCGTGGTCTTCGTTTTGCTCTCTCCCTTCACCCCCAGGTTCCATCCATTACCAGGCTAATTTCTGACACCAAGTTCCTATTCCAGCCCCCTTCTCCATTTCCCAGGGCATCTCTGCCTGGTTCCCAGGTTTCAGTCCACTCTGCCCCCTGTCCTAGGCAGAGCAGCTCTGACCTCTGCTCTCTGCCATGAGTCACAGCTCCACCACCTCTGGAATAAGACCCCCTTGGACCTGCACTGGAGGCTTTCCAAGATCTAACCCCAAACCCTTTACCAACCTGATGTCCACAGAGCCTGTCTCTAACCCAGCCAACCTCAATAGGCCGGCTGCCTAGCCGTAAGAGCAGGGGGCTGGGGGCTTGGTGTCTGACTGCCTAGCTTCGAATCCTAGATCCAGTACTTACTAGTTGTGGGACTTAGGCAAGTCACATAACTTACAGCCACAATTTCCTCACCTAGGAAATGGGGATGTTGGCCAAACTCACAATAAAGAGAGGCTGGGGGAATGGATGGAGAGAGAAGTTGTGAGGTGAGAGAGTAAAGCCCCTGCATGGAACGTGCCTGTCATGGTGGCTGTGCATGTGGGCCCTTTGTTGCTTCCTCCTGGAAGGCCCCCGTCCTAATGACTGGCTCAGGTTGTGGGGACCTCACTCCTGGTTTGGTATTTGTTCTCTTCTAGAGCATTCACCATACTTAGCTTCCTCTTTTTTGGGCTTTTGCCTTTCCAGACGAGACGTGAGACCTGGTCCAGTCTGCTTACGTGTTTCTCTGCATATCATGCAGTCCTGTGTATACAGAGGGGATCCAGCAAATGCTATTGGGTCACAAATGGCTGAATCTTACAGAGTTAATTCTCACTTCATTCCATGAGGGCTTCCGAGGATGGATTACATCCCCTGGGATTTCCTAGGATGACGGCTTGTGGAGGAGGTCTGTGACAGCCAGGTGCCCCTGAGGCCCTGCCGACCAGCCTGAGAGCCACAGGTCTCCCCACACCCTCCCACACTTGGCAGGTCTGCCTGTGCAGGGGATGGCTCATGAATAGGAGGTGGCAGAGGGCTGAGTGTTCTCCCCAAAGCACATCCAAAGGGGAAGTGGGCTTTTTGCAACCAAGTGTTTGGTTTTCATTTGTAACAGCTTTACATATAGGTATAGATTACATATAATAAAATTTACCTATTTCAAGCATACAATTCAATGATTTTTAATAACTTTACCAAGTGGTGCAGCCATCGTATATCAGTTTTAGACATTTCCACCCCCCCCCCCCCCCAACTAAGATTCCTCTTCCGGTACGGAGGTGAGTGGTGGTAGCTCAGGCTCCCTGCCCCATGTGGGACACCGCTGACTGCCGTTTGCGGCTACTGACAAAGACTCAGGCATATTTTCCTTAGTTCCCTTGGCATCCTCTAGGGAGATGCTGTAGAAACAACAGTCTAGAGGGATCTGGATTCCAGGCTGGACTTTGCCCCTGCTGAGCAGCCGTCACTCAGCCTCCTCAAGAGCCAGTTTTCACACCAAAAAGCCAAGAGCAATAATCCCTTTCCTCCCTACCTCCTGGGTTCAAGTGGGACAAAGCACGGAGAAGAACTCCATAAACTGATGCAAGGATTGTCATCATTTTTTAGGGGTAGGAACTGTGTCAGTCATAGGAAGGAAAAGAATTAGGAGGGTCTGACTGTCTCCTCTAATTTATTGAGCCTCACTGCCCTCTGGTCAGCACAGAGTTCTCATTAGGCCAGCAAGACACCTCCACTTGAGGAGAGCGCCTGACTTGGCCGCAGGATGGAGAGGGACGGGGAGGAGCTGAGAGAGGGAGGAGTCTGGAAAACTCCGTCCCAGGGTGAGGCAGTCTCTTCCATGGACAGTGGTGGAGCCCTTACTCCTTGGCCTCTTTCTCCCAGGACTGTGTCTGGCTGCCCCTAGGAAAAGCGTTCGATGGTGCACCATATCACCAGCAGAGGCAGCAAAATGCGCCAAATTCCAAAGGAATATGAAAAAAGTGAGAGGCCCCTCTGTCTCCTGCATAAGGAAAACCTCCAGCTTTGAGTGCATCCAGGCCATCGCGGTAAGTCAGCATCGTATTTCGGGTGGGACCAAACTGCATGGAAGGGAAAGGAGTGGAGTAAAATAGAAAATGTGCTCTCCCCTTCTCCCTCTGCTTTTCTTCCTGGACGCCTGTAAGTTGGGAGCAGTCCACTCTCCTAGGACACAAGGCTGTTTTGAAAGCAGAAACTAACATTCTAAAGTGGAGAGACAGTGTAGGGAAATTGGGATCTCAGCATAAATTGTTAATAACAACTGTGCAAAAATGACAGAGAAGCAGTCCTATTGGAAGAATATGTACCACTGGCAAAAGTCAAGGTTGCTCTGAAAGGTGAAACCTCCAGAACATCTTCACCCCTAAACCCTGAGAGACACAAGCGCAGTTGGTCATGGTCACCACATGGCACGGCTGGGGCAGGGCCTGGCGGGCACCAGGCATCGGAAAGACATTTGTCCAAGACGTTTGCAGGGAAAGAGGAAAGGGAATCGTGACTTGTGGATGATTTCAGATTCCTTTTGCCTTTTGAGATGTAAGATCTACCAAAATAATTTTCACTCATTCACTCAACAAATTTGTTCTGTGTGCCCGCCGCGTGCCCTGGTTGTGTGTCCTCTGCTCCAGCACAGACTGGGTACTTTGTGCAAAAGTTTCCCATAATATCTAGGGTTATGGGAAAATACTTAGGGAAAAAAATTAGTCTGAGCAGTGTTTTAGGCTATTATTTTACAGCTGTGGCCTGTGGACAAGCAGCACCAGCATTTCCTGCAGGTTTAAAAATACAGCTCTCTAGGTCTTGTTCTAACATAGTCAACCCAAAAATATCTGTGAATGAGGTCACAAAACATGCCTTTCTAATAAGAGCCCCATTTTAAATCAGTACTACATACCACGCATCAAAATAAAGTTGAGATAGATTAAGTGGTTAAAAATAAACTGTGTATTATTGAAAAACTGGAGGACAGATTAATTAGTAGAACTGTAGAGGGGAGAGAAATCTCTTAGCTTGTTTTTGTGTGTGTGTGAGGAAGATTGGCCCTGAGCTAACATCTGTTGCCAAACTTCCTCTTTTTGCTTGAGGAGGATTGTCTCTGAGCTAACATCTCTGCCAATCTTCCTCTATTTTTGTATGTGGGACCCTGCCACAGCATAGCTTGATGAGTGGTGTGTAGGTCCATACTGGGGATCCCAACTCATGAACTCTGGGCTGCCAAAGCAGAGCGCACGAACCCAACCACTACACCACAAGGCCAGCCCCCAAATCTCTTAGCTTTTAAGCCGTGAACCAAATCATGAAGTAAACCGACAGATTTCAAAATATAAGAAATTTAATTCATAGCCATTATAAACATTTAAACAAAAAATTTAGAAAGTGCCAGAGTGAATATGCACCGGCTCTGCAAGTGATTACTATTTACAGTCTATAAAGAACTAACTCAAACTGGTAGGAAATATAGGATCAAGTAAGAAAAATAATAGGAGTAGAGTATTCGTAAGAGGGCATTCATAATTAATTAAAATACTTAGGAAGGTTCCCCTTAATAATCAGAGAAATACAAACCTAAGTAATTTGTCAGAACTTGCATTTTCTAAAGTAGTAACACTTAATGAAATGAAAGCCTGTCCTGCTGGGGATTCTATAATGTAACTGATCCTCACAGTTGGTGGCATTCCAAATTGGCATTATGAATCTTCTGGAAAGCAGAATAGCAACAGCAGCCAGGCCTGTGAAGCCAAACATGCTCATTGTCTGGGTGACTCCACACTCAGACGCCTATCCCACGGCAACAGTTCGTCAGGAGAAAAAAGCTACGAGGACAAAGGTATCCATGAGAGCAGAGTTTTAACAGCAAAAAGTTAGAAAGAACCCGAGTGCTGAACATTTGGGGAATTACTTAATACATTATGGAAGAACCACATGATAAGAAAATATTATGAAGTCAATAAAATCAATAAAAGCTCTACAGAAGTAAGGAAATGTAGGCAGTTTTCGATAAGTACAGCAGTCCGCAAAATATTATCTTTACCAGATTGCAAATATGAGAATTACGTAAGCATAGGAGAAGTGACATGCCAAAGAGGACGAACATGGTTACTACTATAATTTTAAGATATCATAATAGTTATATTCTCTGTTCAATAAAAAAGAACTTAAAAGAAATAAATACAAAGCAAAAACAGGGGAGAAAGGGTCTAGAACAAACAACATGAAATATAAACGCCTGTGAAGAGTACGATCAACGGAGCCGCATAGGCGGGTGGGCACTTCTGCGGCAACATGCCAACCTCAGGAGTTACAGCAGTTGGGCTGGTGCTCATTGCCCAAAAAGAGGGAGCCTCAGCTCGTGCTGCCTCTCACAGGATGTGAATGGACATGATGGAAAGCTGACCCTTTTGAAGATTGTTCCAGCCATGGAGCCTGCTGATGTCCTGAAATCCCTGTGCCTGGGTTAGGGCGGTTTTCTCCTGACGTCGGTCGTTCTGGCCTCTTTGCTTTCAGGCAAACAAGGCAGATGCTGTGACCCTCGATGGCGGTTTGGTGTATGAGGCAGGCTTGCACCCCTACAAACTGCGACCTGTGGCAGCGGAGGTCTACCAGACCAGAGGGAGTGAGTTCTCCCTGGGGACCCGGAAGCTGGGGCCTTGGCCCTGGCCCTGGCCTTGGCCTCTGGGGAGTCAGAGTGGATGGGTTGCGGAGGTGGGGTCTCAGACGATATCCCACTTACAGGGAGTGGAGTCCCTGGGCTCTTTGCGCAGATGCTGACCCAATAAGGGAGGACATGATGTGCTCCCTGGGGAAACAGAGCAGGCTCTGGGCTGCCCTGCCCCACATGAAACTGTGGCATGCAGTCCAGCCACCCACCAGCGGCTTGCTTGGGGTGGGCTGTTCATCTCCCTCTGGTTCAGGCTAAGAGCTTTCAATTCTTTCTGACCCTCTGCAGAGCCACAAACCCGCTATTATGCTGTGGCCGTAGTGAAGAAGGGCAGCGGCTTTCAGCTGAACCAACTGCAGGGCGTGAAGTCCTGCCACACAGGCCTTGGCAGGTCCGCTGGGTGGAACATCCCTATTGGGACACTTCGTCCATACTTGAACTGGACAGGGCCACCTGAGCCCCTTCAGAAAGGTAAGATGGCTGGGGGATTGTGGATAATCTCAGGCAGGGGTCTCCACTCCAGTTGCACACACAAGCCACCACTTTGGGATCACACAGGTGAACACGTGTGATGAATCCAAGGTGGGGGTGAGGTGAAGCAGCTGGAAACATGCACTGGGAGGCTTGGCTGCACCAGCAGCCCTCCGGAGGTGGCAGCTGAGTCTGCTCTCAGCCGAGGTGCACCTCTCTGAGTCTCGGGCTCACAAGGAAGCTGTCTGGCAGGGGTGGAGGAAGCCCCTCTCTGCCCACAGGGAGTGCACACTGTGAGGTGTAACCGACTGTGGCCGGGGCTGGCTCACACTCCCTGGTCCATTTCTCTGTGTTCAACAGCTGTGGCCAACTTCTTCTCTGCCAGCTGTGTTCCCTGCGCAGATGGAAAACAGTACCCCAACCTGTGTCGCCTGTGTGCGGGGACAGAGGCAGATAAATGTGCCTGCTCCTCCCAGGAACCATACTTTGGCTACTCTGGTGCCTTCAAGTGAGTGAGATTGTCCTCTTCTCCCCAGTGGCCTGAGGGCCACATGTCCTCAGGCCAGAAGGCCTTCTCTCTGGCTCCAAATAGAGCTCAGCCTGCTACTAGGGACCATAGAGGAGGTTCAGTCCTTCTACTGCTGTGCACATAGAGAAACCGAGTCCAAAGAGGGTGCTGACTTTACCCAGTGCATGGTCCCCTCCAACCCCGAGCCCCACACGTGCCCTCTCACCTCTGCATCAGCCTGATGATGAGCAGTCACCTTGGCAGTGGCCCCTTCCGTCTCCCCAGAGAACCTTGAATCTGGCATTGCCCCTGTGTTGTCCTGGGTTGACTTCTGCCCCCTCCCTAACCATAGAGGGACTGAAGGAGTCTTGTCATGAGACGACCAGTCCCAGTCTCCTGGCCAGGTAGGACAGCTGGAGTGTCCAGGCTGACGTCGGTCTGCCCCACCTGGGCCTCTGCCCCACCTGGGAGACAGTGCGCTCTGCCGGATTCACCCCTGCACCCCATCTGCCCCCATGCTGAGGCTGATGCTACTGCTCTGCCCCCATCTGCCCCCTGGGTTAAGGCACTTTTGCAGAGGGAGGCCTCCCTGCTTCTCACCCGCAGGGCACATTCCTTCACTCAGTCCTGGAGAAAGAACCACATGGCCAAGAATGCCAAGCCTTCACCCTCTGGTGTAGAGCCTTCAAAACTCTCTGCTACATAGAAAGACAAGTTTTGCCCTCTCAGCCCTCAAAACGGAAGGTGGGGGTCTCTGGTCAGCACTTGAGTCCTTCCTCAGGGTCTACCTGGAGGTGGCCCCTGCCACCTGTCCAAGCGAGGTGCCCCCAAACCTCAGAGCCCTGCCCTTCCAGGATCAGCCGCCCACAGGAGACAAGCCCCAGGGCCTGTTCCACAGGAAGCCTGAGGACCGAGATGGGGGGCCGCTCCCTGCTGACGCTTCTGGTGCTTTCTTATTTCACAGGTGTCTGGAAAATGGGGCTGGAGACGTGGCTTTTGTCAAGGATAGTACAGTATTTGGTAAGAGGAGTGGGAAGAGCCACGGGGACTGCCTCCTATTATTTTATTTTATCGTAATTCTGAGTATTGTGATAATTAGATTTCTCACTTCTTGGCACACTATTATCAAGGTTCCCCACAGGGCACACAGCTCTTATTTGATGTTATTTCATAGTTTAAGTGGTCAGTTTTCTTTAATCTTCCAGGCCCACTGCCCTTCTCTTCCCCTCATAGACACCCCTGCCAAGGTACTTGACATGCATCCTCTGAGATATGTGTGGTCTGGCAACAGGTATAGTGCTGGTTTGTTTCCCTCAGCCCACAGAAGTTTCACTGATCATTAGAAACCATGCTGCTGCCAAGGTTTTCCACTTAGCATTTTGTTTTAGAGATTTATCCATGTTGTTGTATATGTCTAGTTCAGTGGTTCTAACAGTTGAGGAATGTTCCATGGAACACGTCCACCAGATTTTACTTATCTATCACCCTAGCGATGGACTAGCTCCTTCTGTCCTTCCCTCTACCACAAACAGGGCTCCGTGACTCATGCCCTTATACATATCCTCTTACTGTCCTTCAGGAGAATGTCCCTGGGGGACTACTCACTGAAGCACAATTGCTCAGTGTGCACAAGTGAACACACTCTACCCAGGACCACCGGAGACAGGCCCGCCACATTCACCCAGGACCACTGGAGACAGGTCCTCTCCATTCACCCAGGACCACCGGAGACAGGCCCACCACATTCACCCAGGACCACTGAGACAGGTCCTCCACATTCATCCAGGACCACTGGAGACAGGTCCTCCCCATTCACCCAGGACCACCAGAGACAGGCTCACCACATTCACCCAGGACCACTGGAGACAGGTCCTCCACATTCACCCAGGACCACTGGAGACAGGCCCACCATATTCACCCAGGACCACCAGAGACAGGCCTGCCACATTCACCCAGGACCATTGGAGACAGGCCCACCACATTCACCCAGGACCACCAGAGACAGGCCCACCACATTCACCTAGGACCACTGGAGACAGGCCCACCACATTCATACAGATATCAAGCTATTGTTGGTTCTAGATTTTAGGAAGATCTTTTCTCAGTCAAAAAATCTGTCAATAGCACCCTTTGTTGACCAGAAGTCCTTGACACTGATAGGGTCCAATTCATCAATTTTGCCCCGTTGGTCTGTGCTTTTGGGGTTTTTTTTAAAGATCCCCTCTTTACTCCCAAATCATAAAGATTTCCCACAATGAGATTTAAAGACCACCCTCGCCAGCACACGTTTGTTGTGTATTCTCCACACCTTGGAAATTAGGTATGGCTTTGGCCTCAGCATTTTCCTTTTATAGGAAGACCATCGCCCTCACAATAGCAACTATATAAAATTCAACATTTTTCCTACCAATATGTGGAGCCACTTCTACAGCAAGTTTGTATATATCCATGGATCAGTTTCTGGGCTACTTTGTTTCACTCGTGCATTTGTTTTTTCCTGCTTTTATTACCCTAGCTTGTAGTGGGTCTTAATATCCTGGGGGGGGGGGGGGCGGGGGAGAGGGGGAGAGAGAGAGACAGAGAGAGCCTTCTCACCCTACATTTTGCTCTTCATTTTCAAATTTTTTTAACTAAAATTTTAGAATTGTTTTGTTGAATTTCCAAAGGCATCATACTTTAATTTTAACTAGAATTGTTTTGAATTTAAATTGATCCATGAAAAACACATAGTTATAATGTTAAATTGTCATAATATATCTCCCCCATTTGATCACAGCTCTTTTTATATCCTTTAACAGAACTTAAAAATTTTCTCTTTGTTGGTCTCATGCATATTTTTGTGAGGCTAATTACTAGCATTTAATGGTTTTAGTTGCTTCTACAATATCTTATATTCCGTATTAGTTTCTGTTTGGTAATTGCTGATGAGAATAACAGGATTTCTGTAGTGTTGCCCTTCTGAGCTCTCTTGTTAGTTCTATTAGTTCTTTCTTGGTTTTGTTGGCTTTTCTATGTAGATGATCACATCATGTTTAAATAATTAGAGTTTGTCTTTTTCCTTCCAGCGTTTATTTCTCTTATTTCTTTTGTAGACTGTGTGTTCCAGGCTGCCTGGTATCTGTTGGCAATGTGATAGCTGGCATCTTTGCCTCATTCCCGATTTTGAAGGGAATAAACATTCCCTTTTTCTTCTCATAGTTTTCTTCTCATAGTATGATTTTGCTGTAGATATTTTGTTAAATGGCATTTATCAAGTTCAGTAACTTTACCAAGTTCTCTATATTACCAGTTTTCTGAAACTAAAAAAAAAAATCACAAACAGATGTTGAACATATAAATGCTTTTTCGACTTTGCTTTTTCGACTTTTCTTTTTCTTATTAAAATTAAGACAATCTCATGATTTCCCTCCTTTAATCCATTAATGCTATGGATTACTTTAGCTTTTTTGACATTCAACCATTCTTTTGTTGAGGGAATGAACTGATAAACCTTAATCCTGATCTGTTAGTTTTTTAAATACTCCGTTAGATTGAGTTAGCTAATACATTATTTGAGATTTTTGTATTTATGTTCATAAGTAAAATAAGCTCGTAATTCTTTCTCTGTTTTTGACATCAAGGTTGTACTAATCTCATAAAATGACTTGGGCAGGTTTCTGTCACTAAATATATTCTAAAGTAACTTACATATGATATAGATAGTTCCAAATTGGGCTGAACTCACTCGTAAAAACAGTCTTCTCCCTTCTTGTGATATACCCAGAGTTGGGAAATGACTCAACTGTCATTTTTATTCTTTCTAGAGATGTGGGTAAGGCAGCACCCCCAGGCTGGCCCCTGGGCTTCTCTCCACTATGTGGCTCTTTTCTAGGCAGGGTTGCCATGGAAACAGATGAGGTTGGTTCAGCCGCCTCGGGCTTGCCAGGCAACAGTTGCAACAATACCAGGGTAGCCTATATGATCCCAGTTAGAGAAACACTGGGCCAGCCCCCAAGGCTTTCTGGACACTGTCTTTATCTTTCTGAGTGCTCTGGAGCAATCCACTGCCTTTCTGACCCCAAGTTCTGTCAACTGTGTAAGATGTCTCCTCCAGCTCAATTTCTATGGGGGAAGGGGGGCTGCAGCTCATGGTTACTCCCGGAGTCGGCTCATCTGGGATTCCTTCCACCTCTTCCCTTTCCCCTAGAGAACCTGCCAGATGAGGCTGACAGGGATAAGTATGAGCTGCTCTGCCCAGACAATACTCGGAAGCCAGTGGATGCATTCAAGGAGTGCCACCTGGCCCGGGTTCCTTCTCATGCTGTTGTGGCCCGAAGTGTGGATGGCAGGGAAGACCTGATCTGGAGGCTCCTCCACAGGGCACAGGTACCTCCCCCCCCCAACCAGTCCTCTTGACCCACTTGGATTAGGTAGGGGGGAGATTTCTTCCTTCCCTAACTTCCTGCCACTCTAGAAGTCCTTCTGTAGCCTCACTGCACAGACGTTTATGATGTCAGTGGACTGCTTGCTTAGGCTGTACCCTGGACAGCAGAAACAACGGAGCCCCTCTAGCAAATTGTCAACTCAACTGACAGTATGGGCTGGAGTAGAAGCAGGGGGAGGATGACGCAATATTCTCAGGACTCTTAGGTGCTTGGACCCCAGCAACCTTCTAAAGAAGAAGCCATAGCTGACCTTGTGTCACAGGGACGGCACGGGTCCCTCTGCAGGAGGAAGTCCGCCAAGGTTCCTGCTCTCAGAATCATCCCGATTCCAGATACTCTTCGTCAACATCATTTTTTTGTTTCCTCCCTATTTATCACTGACATCATAATTCTATTTTTCCTTAATTAGGAGGAGTTTGGAAGAAACAAGTCATCGGCGTTCCAGCTCTTTAAGTCCACTCCTGAGAACAAGGACCTGCTGTTCAAAGACTCTGCCCTTGGGTTTGTGAGGATCCCCTCACAGATAGATTCTGGGCTGTACCTCGGTGCCAACTACCTCACTGCCACCCAGAACCTGCGGGAAAGTGAGTGAGGACCAGGCAGGCCCCGAGGGTGGGGTGCGGCCAGTGAGGCATGGGTGAGGCCTTCCAGGAAGCACTTCCCAGCCCCTCGTGGGCAGCACGGCCCTGCTCGGTAGTGGTCACTTCTGCATCTCCCAGCCACTGGAAGTCTTCACTGTGGTAGGTTTAATGCAGGTGTGAGTGCCTTCTGTCGACCAAGTCAGGGCATTTAACATGAGGGAGTGTCTCCAAACGAATGTGTCGGCCACGGGATTAATGCTGCCATGTGTCCCTTTGTGCATCAAGCTCTCCAGCTCTGCCAGAAAAATCAGTTTGCCTCCTATGAAGTGAGAAATATGAACATGAAGCAAGAGAGCCAGGGCCCCTCCTGAGATGAACCCAGAGGCCTGGTAGAACGTCCTCCTGTGCCTGGGCCCTGCGCTTGGCTGGGGACACTGCAGTGGGCCAGCTCAGCCTTGGGTCTTCCAATCCTGGGGGGCTTGGGGTAGAGTCTAGGTGAACCAGGAGGCTGCACTGTAGTTAATGGTGGTGACTGCTGGCCTTAGGGGAGGTCAGAGATGGGCTAATTTCCCCTAGGCCATCTCTTGGGGCTGCCACTGTGTCCTGGAGCTTTCATCCCATGGGACGGAGCTATCAGGCAAATCATTACAGTAAGGACTGAAGGGTGGATTAGAAGCCAAGGGAAGTCTCCAAAGGAACGGAAATGAGAAACAAGGGCGCTGCGCCTGCCTGAAGAAAGGGTTGTGGAGCTGAGAGTGGAGGGGGAGAGGAGCAGGTGGCCAACTCTTCCATGGAGGGAGTAGCTCCCGTGGAGGGTCCAGGCAGGAAGGGCGCTCCGAGTGGATCCCGGGCTCCAGGGAGGTCCGCGGCGTCTGGGCGTCCCCCGCAAGGCTCAGGGCCCCTGCCGACCGGCTGTGTCCCTCTGCGCAGCGGCGGCGGAGGTGGCGGCGCGGCGCGAGCGGGTTGTATGGTGCGCCGTGGGCCCCGAGGAGGAGCGCAAGTGCAAGCAGTGGAGCGACGTGAGCAACCGGAAAGTGGCCTGCGCCTCGGCGTCCACCACCGAGGAGTGCATCGCCCTGGTCCTGGTAGGTGATTACTCCACGCAGTGGGAGCATGCGGCACTTGCAGGTGGGGCCGCGCGCTCCTTAGCGGCCCACAGGTCCCGGCTCGGGCTCGGAGGCGCTGCCCGGGGCTGAGGCAGGGTCTGCCGCGGGGGGTCTGCGCGGGCAGCGCACGGTGTGCAAACAGGCGCAGCTGTCTGTTAAAAACTGTGTATTGTGGGCTTTTCACTCCTCTGATTGTAAGAGCAACTCACGATGCTGGTAGGTAACTTGGAAAATAGAGAAAAGTATGATGTAAGAACAATAAATAGGTAACAACCACTTGTGACCTCACACAGAGAGACACCAGGGTTCAAGTTTTGATAATTACCCTCTCCAGGATTTCTCGGTACATCTGTGCGTAGGCTCGCAACAATACTAGATCACACGAGTTTTGTGGGGTTTAGTTCTTTTCTCTTTACAGTGTATCAAGGCCATTTTGCCAAGTGAATACATATTCTTTGAAAACACTTTTTAAAAAATGATTTCAGAGTATCTTTTGTGTGTATGTGGCTCAGTTTAGCCATGACCCTATTCCTCCTTGTCTCCTTAGATTTTTTTATCAGTAGCCCTGTGATGCCCATCCTTGAATAGAAATCTTCATCCACATCTCTAATTAGTATAGTGGTAAAAAAATTATTAATGGGCCAAAGAGGGAGTTTTGCCATCTTGATGGATCCATCTTCCAGTGATGGAGTGTGGGCTCATGCATTCTGATGGTGAGCCCGTTTAATGATTTGTGCTCATTTGTTGGACAAATTCTGCGCTGCACTTTGAATGTAACGCCAGTGAGCTGAGACTTGATGAAGCTAGCTGTTCCCATCTGTTTCTCCGGTGAATGAGGCTGGTCCAGGAGGGTGTGTCCCAAGAGGGCTCCGAGTATAGAAAGGGTTTCGTTCAGAGGACAGAGAGTTGGTGAAACCTGCTCCTGGTCTTTCCAATGAAGTGACCGCATGAAAGGCATGTGGGGCTAAGTAGAGAATTAGTAGTGCACGTGGGGTTTCCTTTGGGTGCTCAGTTCAAACAACCCCTGCTTGTTTTTGCTGCTTCATTGGGACTTCTGACATAAAGCCATTCTCTCGGAGAGATGTAAAGACAGGTGGGACAGGAAACAGTGTCACTGTGAGGCTGGCAACCTGCTTTGCTTCTGCAGAAAGGAGAAGCGGATGCGCTGAACTTGGATGGAGGATTTATCTACGTTGCGGGCAAGTGTGGTTTGGTGCCTGTCCTGGCAGAGAACCAAAGTAAGTGGGGGCAGGGTCCTCTCAGGTTTATTTCTTCTGGGCTATGGGGGTGGGGGTAGGGACAAGCGACCCTACTCGTGGGTCCAGGGGACATATTAAGATGGAAGGATACATTCAAACAGAAGAATTGGGAAAGAATAAATGAAAGGGGCTGTATTACCTACAGAGCCTATGGTATTGAGAACTGACAAAGCACAGATTGGTTTCCTCTTCTTAATTTTTAAAAAGATTTTAGTAAAGTAAAATATACATGAGGAAAAGTGCACAGAAACGTACAACTCAATGACATTTCTCAAACTGGTACGGCCCTGGGCACTAGTGCCCAGATCAAGATACAGCAAGTTTCTCAAGTCTCCTTGTGCCTCCTGTCCCCAGCTCTCATACTCCAGTAAGGCTAATGACTCCTGACTTCAAACGGTATAGATCAATTCTGCCTGTTCTTGAACTTTACGTCAAAGGAGTGGCACAGCATGTGCTTTTTTAATGTCTCTTGCTCAGCATTACATTGGTGTTATTCATCCATATAAGTGTGTAGCTGTAGAATCTTCAGTCTCATTAGTGTTCTATTATGTGACTCCGCTGCAATTATTATCCGTTCTGCCGTGCATGGGCATTTAGGCAATTTCTAGTTGGTGGCTGTTGTGAATAGCGCTGCTATGAACATCTGTGTCCGTGTCTTTTGGTGAGCACGTATATGCATCTCTGCTACACGGAACTGCTCAGACAGTCTCTTCGGATCTGATTCTGTATTGTTGAGATTGAGAAGTTTGTGACTTCTCAATAAAATTGAGTGTTTAATGATCTTGTGCTTGCCTTTATTCTTTTAGAATCCCAGAACAGCAATGCCCCAGATTGTGTGCACAGACCACCAGAAGGTGAGTGGGAATTGGTGGTTTTCAGGCTGAAGGGTAAGTTCTTGCTGCTGGAGGAGGAGGTGGCAGCAACTTTAAAACCTCATGGAAAGAGAAGCAGCCATAGAAGCCATAAGTTCTTTTGAAGATGCAAATAATTTGTAGATAAGTAATCATAATTAACATTTATGTCGATGTTCACACATGACAGAGAACTTTCAGAGTTTCTCATTGTGTCCTGGCCACATGGAAGGAGGGGTGTTACATCCCCATCTCAGATGGATGAGGGGACACTGGCCCAAGTAGTCTCCTGAAGTGCGCCGGATCTCACTCACAGCCATCGATGATACTGTGGTAGATCCTGGCCTTGCACCAGGGGCTCTGTTGCTAAATACCATGCTCTGTGCGCCACACCCACCTGCCTGCCAGAGCTGGTGCTTACTCAGCTTCACGAGAGCTCCCCACCTGCCCCCAGCAGGGGTGTGTCAGGTGCACTCAATCAGGAGGAGGATTGCCACCACATTGACCCTCTCACAGTGCGGGGCTGGTTCACACTCAGCACAGGGAGACACACCCCCTGCATCCACGGGGCACTTGGTCTGGTGGTTGTCATTGCTCTGGCCCGATGCATATTGCAGTCGGTGATTTATGCACTCTTGGGGTCGCACTTGTTCAGCATTTGATGCTTTAGTGGCCTTTATCTAAAGGTGAATTCCTGGTTTGTAACTCAGGGACAGTGTGTGGCTGGTCGACGACAGTCCCCAGCAATCACCTAAAGGATCAACTTTTCCCCCTATTTCAGATCAATCTCACCTTAACATAGAGCAGCAGCTTAAGCCTTTTTGGTCTACCTGACAATGGCCAGTTGTCTGGGGGAATCATTGCTGGTGATGCTTCTTGGCCTGTTTTGGCCTGGGTTGCCAAAGACAGTTGCACTAGAGAGCCCATGTGCTAGGCCCTCTGGAGGTTAAGACTTGCTCTTCTGTCGTCCAAGGGTATCTGGCAGTGGCGGTTGTCAGGAAATCAGATGCTGACCTCACTTGGAATTCTCTGAGTGGCAAGAAGTCCTGCCATACCGGCGTGGGCAGGACCGCAGGCTGGAACATCCCCATGGGCCTGCTCTTCAACCAGACAGGCTCCTGCAAGTTTGGTAAGGATTCCGAGGTAGTCGTGGGTGGGTCATCCTGAGGGGTAGACACATGGAGCTGTAGAAAGTTTGGGGGGGGGTGCGGGGATTTGTAGGCTGACTGTGGCCCGCAGCCCCTTTTGGTGTAAGTAGGCTGTCCCTGTGGCTGCCTCCTTCAGTCATGGATGGATGCACTGAGCGGTTCTCCCCACAGCACTCCCCATGCCCCATCCACCCTACCCCAAGGTCAAACACTGGAATATCAGTCTGTCTCTCTGCACCCTAAGAATGGATGCAGATTCTGAGATGTCCAAATGTTATTTTTTGCCTCTTAGATCTCCAGATCTAAATTCCTCACGGGTGCTGGCTTGCTAATTTGGGCAAAGGCCCCTGCCTACCTCATGATAGGTGACTTCTGTTCCTAGACAGAACTGACTTCTTACTCCACACTGCAAAGGAAACCAAATAAGACCTCAGGGATTCTGACCCAGCCTGCTTCTGGGGCCTCTCTACCTGCTGTACCCCATGCTCACACTGTGTTCATAAGCCGTGCCCTGCCTGCTATGGGCCCGGTGACATGGCGTGTGGCATGTTCTTGTGGTGGCTCACCTCTTGTGCAGGCATCTCTTCAGGTGGGGTCCTGCTACCCTTTAAATGGATTTGTGATCCTGGCTCGGGCAGGCTTGCAAGTGGCTCTGTTCCTCACCAGCAGTGCACACTGTTGTCGCTCTCTCCAGCACCCTTGGCTGCCTCTGAGCTGTGGGGAAGCTGCCAGGACTTCAATGAGGTGCTCCCCAGCCTTTTCCTGAGACTGGCACGTGGTGTGGCTCTTCCAGTTCAGGGGCTGCACGAGGCTGGCCATGGGTGCTACTTGCTCATGGGGGCAGGGCTTGCTTGTCACCTTTGTTTCCTCTTTTCTTAACCTATATTAATCCATATTAACTCCTTCATGTGAGTTAAATCATACGATGAGTTCATTCAGGTTAGGTTCAGCTGCAAGGACAGGAAACCCCAAGTAGTATTAGAGGCTTAAACAAGACAGAAGTTTATTTCTCTTTCATGTAGGGGAAGCCCAGAGGTGGATTGTCTGGAGCTAGTATGATGACAACATAGTGTCAGGGACCCAGGCTTCAGACTTCTGGCTACTCTGACACAGGTGGCTTCCATGCTCAAGGTTCTCACATGGCCCATGTCACAACTGGAGGTCCAGTCCCCGCTTATCCATTCCATATGCAGGATGAAGGAAGGGAAGGAGAAGGGGCAAAAGGCATGTGCCAGCTGTCCTTTAAGGATGTTTCCAAGACACTGGCACCCAGCACTCCTGCTCATATTTCACTGACCAGGATGTAGCCACATGGCTGTGCTAGCCATAGGGCATCTGATAAGGCTAGTCTTTATTCTAAGGGACCAGATGACCAGGTAAAAAGGGTTGCCATTACTGAGGAAAAGGGGAAATCAGATCCTGGAGTAGGTAACCAGTAGGGTCTGCTGCAGATGGCCATCAAGTTCATCACTTGAGTCCCCAGCTTGAGGCTGTGATGACGGGACCCTCTGAGTAGAAGTCACAGACTCTCTTCCCAATCCCCAGTCAGGCTTCTTGTCAGTGCATACAGTCTGAAGCTTTTCTGGTTTCTGGTGGGTCCTGGCTTGGTGGTAACAAGCCACTACTTGTGATAGTGACTGTGTTCTATCTGTCCTGGGCAATACAATGAACTGAAATCAAGCTGTGTCACCTGTTAAGTAGAGGTTGTTTACGTTGACTCAGGTAGGAAGAGCTGACTTCCCATGTTTCTTCTCTCCAGATAAATTCTTTAGTCAAAGCTGTGCCCCTGGAGCTGACCCACAATCCAGTCTCTGTGCACTATGTGTTGGCAACAACGAGAATGAGAACAAGTGCATGCCCAACAGCGAGGAGAGATACTATGGCTACACTGGGGCTTTCAGGTGAGTGCTGCGGCCGGACTTCACGAGGATAGGGCTGTGTCCCTTGTCCTCCAGCATCTTGGCACTGCATTTCCAGGGGGCCAGAAGTGGCCTGTCACAGCAGAGCCAGGGTCAGCCTGGGGGTTGGCTAATGGGCAGCACCAGTGAGGGCTCCTCTCACCACATCCACCACTCTGGAGAGTGGAGGCCGGCACCAGGGCTCTCTGACCTCAGCTCTGCTGGGCTCCTTCCTATGGCCTGGAGCCAAAGTCAACCTTGTTGGGCCTCAAGGTCCTCAGCTTAAAAGTCAAATGGGTAGAGTATGTGTTATGTTAAGTCCTTTCTGCAGTTCAGTTTTATAGGGAAGAATTCTCTTTCCCATAGCCACCACTCTCCTCTCATCTAGGTCATCAGTATGTCTTACTTTTCACTTTTCTCTTTGATTTTGGCCTTAGAAATGGCAGAGAAGGTAGTATTGCAGTGTTATTCTTCTCTAGTGAAGTGGAAAGTAACCGAAAAATAAATTTTCAGAATTCACCGCTTATAACCACTTGGTGATCCACAGTAACTGTCCAACCTGTGTTTTACAATCCCATTCGTCTGGAGGTTGCTTCTCAGCGGTGCTATCAGTGCTTGAAGGGCACTGAGTCCTCCCCAGTCGCTTTTCTCCACGAATATATTTCACCACCAGATGGCGTCATGTATCCAAGAAGGATGGTGGCCAAGCTGGTCTTTGAACTTTTTAGTATAAATTTAGTAGCTGCCTCTCCAGTGATGGGATGATATAAAGGTAGCTTTTACGGTACTCTAAGTGACTCATAAAAAAAGTATTCTGTGACTATACAAACATATCTCTAATAGACTAAGGATTTTCAAATGGAATATTTGTGATGTGATTCCACTCAAAAATATAGAGTAGACATGTCTGATAAAAACCCCAAAGAATCATGTTTTGGGTTTTTTTCAAACCTACGGCAAGGCATTATTTCACTAGAAACACCTACACTTTAGTATTTCTATTTATACTAGAAGAAAATGCTTTGTCTTTTCTTCAAATTGAAAGCTGGAACCAGAAGTCCTATTTACCTTTCTATTTCTAACTAACATCCTTATATTGCTGGTTTTAAATATTTAGCTGTCGGCTATCTTCTGCTGACTTTCTGTTATGGAAGCAGACGTAGCCTCATACTGCCCCTACGCCTCTTCTACCCCTCAGCCACAAACTTCACCTCCTTTTACTACCCAAGAAGATGATGTCATATTCAGGGCTTACATTATTATGAGTGTGTAAATATTATTCTCATATTAAATATGTGATGTAAGATCGTATCTCCCTTACTGTACAAAGTGTTTGTTTACTCTGGAGTTAATAGGCGTCTTACTATTTGTTTAGTTTTCTGTGCTTTCTAAAAAAATGACTAATTCATCTCAAAACCCTCTATCAGTAGTCTAAATCTCCTGACGATGCAGACACAAGTAGAGCAGGTGCCGTCTCAGTTTCGTCATTTACTTGGGAGCGTGGCTTCTGAAGACTGCCATCCTCTTGCCCTCCTCTGGACCGGTGCCCTCTAGGCCTTCTGCACATCTGTGGTCCGAGGAGTCCCGTTGACCATCGTTCTGGGATTTCCCTTTGACTTACTTCATGTTAAATTGCCTATGCCTTGGGTCTTAGATCTTTAGCTCTCTTGGTTTTGTTGGAACAGAACACATCTTCTTGAGTTGCTGTTTTTTCAGCATTTACATGTCTGAAAATTTATCTTTATTCTACCCTTCAAATGACGTATTGTTTGGCTGGGTTACTAAGTGTAGATTGGAGAGCATTTTCCTAAGGAATTTTGACAGAATTTTTGTATCTGGGAAATGGTAGCATTAGGCTATTTTGACCAACTCTCACACTAAAAGTAAGCAAAAATGCCAGATTAAGTACACACATACACACGTTCTTAAGAACATTGAATAACTGACAAAGTAATAAGGGATTGTTAGGCTAAAATCTAAGGGAAAATAGGAATTCAGAGAGCTAAGTGGAGGCACTTTGTCCTGAGGGCATTTACCTATTCTGACAAATTTGAACCTAGATGTTACATGCGCCTTTAAGGTAAAAGTGAATGAGAAGTGACTTCCATGCCTTCTCCCAGGGCCTTCAGGTTGCCTGGATGCTGAGGAATACAGAGAGGAAAATACACACCATCCTTGAGAAATTGAAACCATGAGCCAGCTCTTGCATGGATTTGCAGCTCAAACTTGTGTGCCATAGGATGGTCTGGACATTCTCAACTCACATTTCTATCTAAGTGGTCTCAGACTAGTGGTCCCCTTAGGAACCTGTCCGGAACCTTCAGGTTAGGCCTCAAAGACTGCTCAAAAATACTCTTTCAATAACAATGAGAAGTACATGGTGAAAATTATATTTAAATATAATAATAATTATAATTAAGTATAATATTAACCAGACACACAGCGAAAAAAGTCACCAGAAGCAAAATCCAGCAGGAAAAAACAAGTCAATATTTTTAAAAAGGAAGAAATAGAACTTCTAGAAGGCGGGGTGGGGGGGGGGGCAAGAAATTGCAATTAGCTGTCCAATTGACCAGTCTAACAGATTAGACATAGCTAAAAAGAGAAGTAATGCAGTGGAAGATATGTGAAAAAATTAATCCAGAATGTAACATAGAAAGTCAGAAAATATAGCAAACACAAAATTTTAAAAGCATTAATCCATTGTCTTCTGAACCTAGAGTTTCTGTTAAGAAATCTGATGCCATTTTTGATTCCTGATTCTTTGCGTATGGCTTTCTTTCTTTTTGAAAAAAATTTTTGTTTGAGTTTTCAGCAATTTACTTTTGGCTTCCTGATTCTGAGAGAATAAGCTTTTAAAGTTTATGAAATGTCTTAGACAAACAAGTCACACAAAGAATATTTTGTGAAGAATAAATAAATCAGACACATAGGATTTATATTTCTCTCTAAGTGTACAGAGATTTAACAACGAATGAAAACTATTCTTTAGGAAAAATGAGTTTTGGGTTTCATCAAAGGTAAAATGCTTTTAAAACCAGTTTCTTGAAAACTTTTTGGGTTTAAAAATAAAAAAATAAATACTAGTTTTAAAAACTATTTTTTTTTATCTCCAATGTTCTGAAACTTCATAATGCTATTTATGTAAGTCTTCTTTCAATTCATTAGATTGGGCACTTGGTGGACCCTTTTCATCTGGAAACTCAAGTTGTTCAGTTCTGGGAAATTTTACTTCATTATTTACTTGATAAGTTCCCTCCTGTTTTCTCTAATTTACCTCTCTTTTGTTTCCCTCCCCAAAGCCTCAGTACATAGTTGTATATTCTAGTTGTAGGTCCTTCCAGTTCTCTGTGAGCTGCCGCCACAGCATGGCTACTGACAGACGAGTGGTGTGGTTCCACACCTAGGAACAGAACCCAGGCTGCCAAAGCAGAGTGCGCCGAACTTTAACCTCTAGGCCGTCAGGGCTGGATCTCCAATATTTCTTTAAACTTTAATTCTTAAATTATAGACTCTCCTAGATTATCATCTCATTTTCTTTTTCTTTCTTTTTTATTATCTGCTCTGTATCTTCTAGTTTCTGGGATATTTGCTCAGTTTAAGCTTCTAATCATTATATCATTTTTAAGAATTTTTTTGATTATTAGTTTTTACTTCCTGAGAATTCTTTTTGTGTTCTGACTGCTGCTTTTGTAGACCTCCTGTTCTTCTTTTATGAGTGCTGCCTTTCTTTCATCTCTTTAATGACATCAATTGTAGTATTTTTCACAAGTTTTACTCTCCCTCCTATGTTGTCACTGTATCCTCTGAGTATAATTGCTTTGATTTCCATCTTTTCTTGTCTTTCTTCAAATACCAATGGCCTCTGGCTGTCTCCCATATTTAAGAGTGAAGCGCCAGAGCTGACTGTTAGTTCTGCATCAGTTGCCACGTCTTGGCGAGTGTAGGTCTCACTGTAGGGCACTTGGTTTGTGTCACTTCACTGTGGGGCATCCAAATCTCAGAATCTGTAGATGTTTTCCTTGAGTTGATCAGATTCTCCAGACAAGGAATCCTCTGTCTGCTTCTTGGGAGGCTGAGCTGGGGCGAGAGGCTGTGGTTCAACCTTCTGGCTATAGTTTCGCTCCACTCTCTGATTTCCGAGTTGGGCCTCTGCTCTCAGCTGTGTTTGGTTGTCTAGTTCATAGTGTTATTCAGGTTCAACTTCCCCATGAACAAACCTTCAGCCTTCCGCCAGGCAAGTGGGGAGCCGTCTCCCAGCTGCGTGGGACGGGAGGGCACCCAGACTGCATCTCTGCAGGCTCTTTCGGGTCCCGTTGTCAGCCACTTTCAGTGAGACCTAGCCCTTGTAACTGCTGAGTCTTTCTGGAGCTCTGCTGTGCACAGCAGCTTTCTTCTAGGCTTCCCCCACTCCACCCTACGTGACAGCTTTCTTTGCTCTGCTGGGTCAATTACTGCTCATCCGTTTGCTCTCTTAACTTTCAAACATTATCACTATCATCTTCTCTCTCCCCACCCTCCACCCCTCATGGCTTATGGCTTTTTAAAAAATCTCATTAATGTCATTTTATTGGGATTTTAGAAGGCAGGAAAGTATACGTGTATGTTCAATCTTCCATTTTAAACCATAAGTTCCTGAAAATCTTCATCTTTATCTTTTCTATGTTTACTTTCAAGTTTCAGATTTTGGAATATATATTATAGATATTTATGAAAACTCTAATAGTTTCTCTTCTCTGGCACTGAGTTTGTTTTCTGGAATATTTTAGGTGCCTGGCTGAGAAGGCTGGAGACGTTGCATTTGTGAAAGATGTCACTGTCCTGCAGAACACAGATGGTGAGTGAAGATGTTTCTCTTTCCCCTTCAGAGCAGAGTCTTTGGCCTCACAACACATGCTAGTGTTCACATCTGCAGTTGGGAAGCTATATGCCCTTTGCCAGACTTTTGATCGAGTTCATGCCGAAGTTTTTTACCTCAGCATGCAACATGGTAACATCTACAAGGGTCGCCTTGATTTTGGAAGCGAACTCTTCCCTCATCCCACTTGCCACACACACACACACGCCAGCCATACTCAGTAGTAACTGTCTCCCCGGCTTTGTCTCGTCAGCCACAGAAGCGCAGCGTCTGCCTGTCCCCACGTAAGGGACACTGAATGTGGATGATACTACAAAAAATTTGAGCATATGTGAATAAGATTTCCCGTTTACAAAAGGAAGTAGTGGCCTTCATTCAGCCCCACGTGAGCCCTCGTCTCAAAACTCCTTAGGAGTGAACAGGGACAGAACACAGGCAGAGGCAGATGACGAAAGATAGCCAACCTACCAGGCAGTGTTGAATAAGCACTCTCCCTTCTGATCTCTAGATGAAACTATGAAGGACCAAATTCAAGACTCCTAGCCATTTGCTGCCTTCTGACCTGCACCTCTTTCCTTAGTCCCCACTCAGCCTCCCCACCCCTCCTCCTCAGCAGATGACTTGCCACTTCGTCCCCTGAGAAAGAATTGCCTCAACTGTCTGCCTCCCTCCTTTGAAGGCACCAACAGTCACGGCCGCTCCTCCCTCCTCACGGCTCTCGGGAGAGGCATTGAGGACATATAATGGACATATAAACGTGGAATAATCTCAATATCAAATAGACAAAGCTAAGAGAATGGATGAAGTGTTTTCTTGAGGGGAGAGGACAGAAGGAGAGAAGCAGGGACCTGAACAATGAACCTGTATTTACACACACACGAACATGCATACGATTACATTTTGAATTTATGAACCATTAATCTAAGTGACCTCCATGGATCAGATTGATGTCAAATTTAATTTTAAGCTTCTCTGGGATTTTACAACTGTATTTTATTGGCATTGACTAAATATATTTGATAAACCCATAGTTGTTCCTGTCCTTTCTCTGGTTACACTAAGAGTGTTTGAATATGAAAGAAAAGAAAATAATTTCTTCTTAAACTTAGACCAGCTATTCTTTTTCTGGAACTCACTGGAAAATATGGCACAGGTGGAGAATTTCCTTTTTAAAAATTAAAAAAATGTTTAACAGCTTTATTGAGATACAATTCACATACTGTAAAATCCACCCATTCAGAGTGTACAGTTCAGTGGTCTCCAGCACAACCACAGAGTTGTGCAACCACCAGCACAATCTGATTCTAGAACACTTACATAACCCCATAAAGAAACCCTGCACCTATTAGTGGTCACTTCCCCAGAGCTGCAATCATCAATCCACTTTCTGTCTCTGTAGATTTGCCTATTCTAGACATTTCACGTAAATGGAATCCTGCAATATCTGGCCTTTTGTGACTAGCTTCTTTCACTTAGCATCATGTTTTCAGGGTTCATCCAGGTTGTAGCATGATTCAGTCCTTCACTCCTTTTTATGGCTGAATTCCATTCCATTGCATGGACGCAGCACTAACTTTGCTATGTTTGGAGTTCGGCTCGCTCGTGCAGGATGAGGCTGCCTTCTGTCTCCTTTATATCACTGCAACCTCAGTGTGTGCATCTTAAGAGGCCTTTGGATGGTCACATACACCCAGAAAGGACCCTTTAACTATACTGGGCAGCCGTGGCTGATGCTGCCTTCATTCTCTCCCCAGGAAAGAACAGTGAACCGTGGGCTAAGGATTTGAAGCAGGAGGACTTTGAGCTACTGTGCCTTGATGGCACCCGGAAGCCTGTGGCTGAGGCTGAGAGCTGCCACCTGGCCAGGGCCCCAAATCATGCTGTGGTATCTCAGAGTGATAGGGCACAACACCTGAAAAAGGTGCTGTTCCTCCAACAGGTATGGACCACCAGGGCCTCCTGCCCTTTCTTAACTGCGTGGGCTCCTGTTAGGGGGACAATCACAACGCCCGGTGATTCTTTCTAGTCCCTCTGCTTGAAGCTGCTGATGACAGTATTTGCTTCATGCTGTGGCGCTGCACAGAGCCTCGATGAGGACAACAGAGGCTTCCGATGCTGGGCTTTCTGGAACTAACCTGACTTCTGCCCGGAGTCTCATGCACCTGAACTTGTGCTCACTGCCTGGCTTGGAGATGCTTTCTCTCCTTGTCCTTACTTCTGTTCTTCAGGCAAATGAGGCAGGCGATTGAGCCTTCCTCCCTCATGCCAACGTGGAGCGTGATTTACTCTGGTGATGTTTCCTGAGCCTGGGCCAACTGAGCAATGTTCTAGACAAGGCCCTGCATGTGTAATCTCTGAAAAACAGCAAACCCAGAGCTCCTATAGATTTAAGGCTCTCTATGTGAAGTGGTTTGAAGGAAATCCTGCAATTTCCTTCAAGTCTGTGATTCTCTATTAGAGCTTCTAGTCTTGTGTTAAAACATCAGATCTCTAAGTGTGCTTTAAAGACGGTGGCCCTGGAATGGTAATAATAGGCCTCAAACTGGCATTCACGGAGCCCTCACTGTGGCACACTCCCTTGGTCTGCTGTCACTGAGGTGCTTGGTTCTCATAGTTCACCCCTGCAGGAGCCCTGGGCATGGAGAAGGAACTGTGGCCAAGTTGGCTAAGTAACTTGCCCAAGGCAACGATCTGGTCAGTGGCAGAGACGATTTCCCGTGCAGACTGCCTCTCTGGGAGAGCTGGCCTATTAGAATTCTATAGGTGACCAGCTTTGGGGGCAGATCTCAAAAATCTTCAGCCGTCATCTAGTCACTTATAAGAAGTTCTAAGGGAAGAGGCCACAAACTAAGAAGACAGGAGAGATGGCAGGAGGTGAGATCAGAAGGCGTGAGGGGCCTGGACGCTGCTCAGGGTGCGTCTCCCACCTGGGGCATGGGCAGCAAGAGGACACAGGCAGCGGAAGACCCAGCCAAGGCAGTGGAACAGCTCTAGGACTCAGGTCCTTTTGCCCCACCATTTTCCCAGGGCTGATCCTGGATGGAAGAAATGTCCTTGGCCTTCCCCAATGCGTAAACTCTCCTGTTTTCCTTGGCTGCTCACTGACTGTTGGCCTTTTGGACACAGGATCAGTTTGGAGGAAATGGACCTGACTGCCCGGGCAAGTTTTGCTTATTCAAGTCTGAAACCAAAAACCTTCTGTTCAACGACAACACTGAATGTCTGGCTGAACTCCAAGGCAAAACAACATATGAGCAATATTTGGGATCAGAGTATGTCACGTCCATCACTAATCTGAGACGCTGCTCGAGCTCCCGTAAGTGGACATAGATAGTGTCACTGAGAAACCACCATGGGGGAAGGTCAAGATTGGAGGGCCAGACAGCATTCTAGGAATGAAGATGGGTATAAAATGTTAAGGCAATATAGCGTTTCTGTGCCTCAGGAAATGGCAGTCTCATTGATAAGGTGAAAGAATTAAGAGAATAAACTAAAGTAGTAGATAATATGCTAGATTTTATAATGCTGATAGTGACTGTCACGGAATTTTTAGAAACTGATCATTCATTTTATTTTATTTATTAACTTTATTCAGTAAAATGAAGTGTGAGTGTGTGTGTATACACACATGTACATAAATATATATACATATGTAATGAGAAATGATAAATTCTGGTTTCTAGACAGTTACCATAAATACCAACTATATTTGAGAACATAAATTCTCAAAAGACATTTTAGCCAGGAAAATGTATTGACAATAATTTAATCCTTTAAAACATTTAGAAGACATCGCAAAGTATTGTCAGGCTCCAGGCGATGATTCTCGAATTTCAGCATGCACTGGGTTCATCCAGATTCCTTTTTCCCCGTGCCTCACCCAGGGAGTCAGAGGCATTGAGGGGGTGGTGGTCCAGGGGTGGGGTTCGGGCCAAGAATCTCTGTATCAGTGGTTCTTAACTGATTTTGCCCCCAAGGAGGCATCTGGCAATGCCTGCCGATATTTTTGATTCTCACAACTTAGGGGGTGCTGCTGGTGTCTGTGGGCAGAAGCCAAGGATGCTAAAGAAAGCACAGAGCAGCTCTCACAACAAAGCACTTCCTGGCCCGGAATGTCAATAGTGCTAAGGTCGAGAAACCCTGCTCTGTACCACCGACATCTCAGGGAATTGTGAGGCAGCTGGCTCTAGGACTGCCCTTGGAGAAACGTGGCTGTGGGGCTATTCCTGTAAGCAGCCAGCTCCCAACTGCATAGGCCCTATGCCGCGTTGGGGCAAGGCCTGTCTGTCCAGGCTGAAACCCCAGCATTTAGCACAGTGACTCACACAGAGCAGGGGCTCAGCAAGTATTTGTGAATGAATGAATGAGAAGGTGAACACTGTTGCAAACAGATTTGCGTGAAGACCATGTTGTTAATGGCTCATATTCCAGAAGAAGTTAGAGGACCATCAATGTCTTGTGAACTTGAGAATGTGGCTGGTCAGTTCAATTAGAGACAAGTGGGGTGGGGGGTTGTACCTCTCAGGCCAGAGTAGGGAAACCCCCTGGTTGGGAGGCCAGAGCTGCTGTGTTCCCTTGGACACTGTGGCTGCTAGGAGGAGGGGCAGTGGGGAAATGTGAGCAGGGCAAGCAGAAAGTCTTTGTTCTGGTATCCTCCTTAATTGATTTATTGACTAAAAAAAGAGGAAGTCAGTTTCTGAATCTATTGCTTTGTTGTGTCCCACAGCGCTTCTGGAAGCCTGCGCCTTCCTGAGGGCATAAAGTCAGAGAAGACGGCCCGGTGTCCCTGGGGGAGCCTCAGCCCCTCGCCGCTCCCAGCCTTCACCCCCTTCCTGAGAGTGATGCTCGCCAGACTCATCTGCTTTCACAGTTTCCGCTGTCATCTTAGCAAGAAATAAAATGAGAAATGCTGTTGATTTTCATTCCTTATAAAGTGCCGTTCATATTTTCTAGAATTTTATACTGAAGTCACATGTCTGACCAAATACCTGTACAGCTGGACTTTTCCTTCCAAGTTTTCCAGGGCCAACTTCTCCTCCTTCAGCAGCTGCAGCTTTGGGTATGATGCCCGATGGCCTGGAATCTAAGGACAGGCTGAGCAACCATTCTCCCCAAGGGCATCTGGTTGGTCATTCACATAGTTGTCTGTGTGTGTGTATGGGTGTGTGTGAGCGTGTGCAGGGGTGAATGTGCATGTGTATGTATGTACATGAGTGCGTGTGTATGCATGTGTGAGTGTTGTCAACAAAAATAATCCATAACCAATCTATAAATGAAAATGTGGGTGAGTTTATTCTGAGACAAAGGTAAGGACCATATAGCCTGGGGCCTTCCTTCTTCAAGGAAGGAAGGGCACTAAAGAAGTGGGGTGTACAGAGTGATTATATATCCTCAAAGAGTATGTTTCACATGATTGAAATGTCCCTTTTACACTAGTCATGAGACTGCTCTGTCGGCACAGCAGTGACTGATGGACACAGCAGGTGGTAGGTCTGCTGTCTCCGTGCACACAGCAGGGTGGCAGGTCTGTTTTCTTGAGCTGGGTGGTCACAGGGTGAGCGCAGAAATCAATTCCTAGCCTAGGGAGAGAGGCTTATCCTTAAGAAAATGCCAATGTGGGGGAAGTTGCACATTTATCTTAAGGGCATTTGTTCTTGTCTTTGGGACACAGCAAAGGCTTAAAGCAGATACACAAGGCATGCTCAACGGCCGTGTCAGGCCCTTTTGGAAAAAATCAATTAAGGAGGATACCAGAACAAAGACTTTCTGCTTGCCCTGCTCACATTTCCCCACTGCCCCTCCTCCTAGCAGCCACAGTGTCCAAGGGAACACAGCAGCTCTGGCCTCCCAACCAGGGGGTTTCCCTACTCTGGCCTGAGAGATACAACCCCCCACCCCACTTGTCTCTAATTGAATTGACCAGCCACACTCTCAAGTTCACAAGTCAGGCCGAATTAGGTTTATACCAAATGGCTTCTCACATACTCTAGTATATCCTATTGCTTGCCATTTATTTGTCAGTGTGCATGTGTGTGCATGTGTGTGTGTGTGTTTCTAGGGCAGGGGAAGGGAACAGAGAGTAGGAATCAAGGGATGAGTGAAAGAAACTGGATATCCAGAAGATTTATGAGTATTTGGTATTGGAAGTAAACAGCATCAGGTGTAGTCAATGTACAAATATAGGCATCATAGGAAAAAGTGAAATACTTCTATCCCTTGGCCTTATGGGCTCTCATCCTCCGGTTAACCTCTAGTCACTAGATGGTTTCCCCCACTTTTCTCAGCCAAACCCTTCAAAGCGTGGTTTAAGTGGGCTGCCTTCGCTTTCTTCAGCAATTTGGGTAGGGTGGTTGGGTCGCTGTTTCACTCTCTCTTCACCCCACTGCAGTACACTTCTAACCTGTTCACTCTCCTGATGTGGTTCTGGAAGAGGATGCCATGCCCTCCCAAAATGCCAAGCTTCGTAGAGTTTCAGATATTCCCCCTGGGCCCTTGCTGTTTCTGATCCCCGGGATCATGCACTCCTTCTTGAAACTCTGTCCCCTCAGCCTCCACGCCACTCCTCCTCCTTTCTGGCCTTCCTTTCTCTGCCTTTTTGAGGGTCATGCTTTGTCCTTTAAGTGCGTCTCCCATGGTTTCCTTCTCCAGAGTTTTCGTTCTGACCTACTGTCTCAAAGCAAGGAAGGAAATTAAGAGAGAACGAAATGATTGGGTTTTAGCCACCAATGCACAGCCTCCCTGGACCAGTAAGTGGGGCCCGGTGGTGTCCACAGATCTGCTCCCTCAGATTAGTAACCCTTCCCTGGGAAGGAAGCAGTTTCCTGCTTGTAGTTTTTTCCATTGACTCACTGGACCCAACAGGCAAACCTGTGTCGGCCAGGTGAGACTGCCCCTGCAAAGGCAGCGGTCAGACAAGGGTGGCCAGAGTCAACCACTATCAACGAGATAGGTGGTTCTGCCACTGCCTGCAGAAGCCTCTGAAATCTGTCAGGCAACGACGTTAATTAGGGTCCCATAATCTTGGACTGAAACTCACTTTTTTGCTACTTTGAATGATGGCCCTGAAATGTAGTCCATCCTCACTAGCTTGAGAAAGTTATTCAGTGAGCAACATTTAATGATGCAGCCATATTAGTTACACCAGCTCCATAAAACATAAAATTTGAACAGTGTGAACCTTCTTATATAAATAAGATACTAAGATGAAGTTAAAGGCCCACCAACGAAATATCCTTTTCCGGCTAAAATTAAATTTCAAAATATAACATCACTGTGTCCATCACCTAAGTTATATCAAAATCTTAGTGGCTTACACAACAAAGGTTTGCTTCTGTCTGGTATTCATGCCTGTCTTGGGTCCACAGTGGCTCTGCTGCTCATCTCTTCATTCTGAGACCCAGGCTGAGCCATCTGGGGCATGTCAGCCTCAAGAAAGAGAGGGAAATAAAAGAGAGATGGAGGCACCGCACAATAACTCTTAAAACTTCTGCTTGGGAAAGGCTATATCGTTTCCATCATTTCATTGTCCAAGGCAAGTCAGGTGGCCATGACATCAATGAGGTGGGCTTATGATGTCCCACAGGGAGAGGCCCAATAGGAAGAGGCAGTGAATATTTTGGCAATAGGACACTCTGTTTCCTGTTCACTTCTGGATCTGAGGCAGTACCCTCATTAATTTCAACCCTAAGTCTCTTGTATGTCTGTCTTTTCTAAAATTTAGTGTTGTCAACAGACTTCTTAGGGGTATCTGTACATCAGGCGCACACTTGTGAAACGTAGAGAATGTCAGCCAATCACCAGCCACTGCAATAGTTGTGGGTGTGAGCACCAGGCTGCTCCTTCAACCAAAGCGACAGCGCTGCTAGGCTGTGAACACCATGGCCCAAAGCAGGGCATTACCAGCACTGGAGCAAGAAAGGAAAACATGGCTGAACTTGTGTCTGAATTTTAGGGTGGAGCCGAAGAGATCATCTTAGGATAAAAGTCTTGTTTGCTAGGAAAGCATCTTGTGGGGCCACCAGGGTTAAAAAAAAAATGAGCCCTGTATCCTAATTGTGAGAGGTTCGAGCCAAATAAGTAGAGCTGACTGGCTCTGCTAAATGGATAGGGGAAATCTAATTGACTGCAGGTGGGGAGAGGCATGCAGATGGCGGAAAAACCTGCCTGAAGAGGATGGATGGGCCCCAGAAACACAGCAACTCAGGTTCTAAAGAAACATGCGGTCATGGAGTCAATTCCTGTCCCTGATGGCGCGGGAGCTCTATCCCCGATGCCCAAACACATGGAAGACTGACCCAGGGGAATAAATCCCCAGGACAGTGTTTGCATGTGGGGAAGGCACATGGAGAGAGGATAGCAGCTTCCAGAAATGAAAGGATAGTAAAGATCAATGATGTGGTGGCCAGAGGCGTCCAGAAGGAAGTGAGGCCCCCGGAATCTGTGGGAATTCTGAGGAAGATCCTGAGCCTTCTGCAGTGGAGGAGATAGGCAGCACGGGTCTATTATTTGAGTGTTAAAGGAGAGTTTCACCCCAGAAAGTTAGAGGACATGGAGACTCTTGGATAAGGCATGGACAGAGGGAGAAAAAGGAGAAGCACCACAATATTTCCTTATCTTCAGCTTTGCCGGGACACCTAGTCGTCAGAAGGAACCAACTCGTGGCCTTTGTCTTAGCCATGAGAAACGTCCTTCTGAATGGACTGCTGAGGTTCTGTGTCACATCCTTGGGGGAAAAACAAAACCAAAAAGTCTATCCACGGGGAACTAGCTCAGACAGTCATATCCATGAATACTTACAGAAGTTAGAAATGTGCAAGCAGGGTGCCACAACTACCTGGCTGCTTCTTTCTCCCCCTACTCAATGTCCATCCCCTGGAGTTCGAGCCTGAACCACCACATGAGTTTTGGCCCCCTATTCTTTCACTCTCATGCTGAATCGAGTGTGGCTCCGTTTGGTCTTTGTGCTTTCGCTTCCTCAAACCCCAATTTCCTTACAGTCTTCAAGGAAAGCTCATGGCCTTACGTTCTGCACAGTCCACATCCGGTGTCTTTGTCTCTGCTTTTCACCCTCCGGCAGGGCCTGAAGGCCTTTCTAGTCCTGGTTAAGTTGCAGTGATCTCTGCCTGCCTCCCTGAAGTTCGCTCTGCCCCTGAGTGTGGTCCCTGGGGAAGATTCCCCCTTGTCCCGTTGGTCCTGGTAGGGGAATGACCTCCAACAGATTCAGGAAGTTAACCTGACCTTCTTCTTGTCAGAACTTTGACCTCAGAAACCCCAAATGCAACAGTGGTTTCTTGGCCTCTGGTTCTGCTCAAGGCCCCTTGTCTAAAATGTTGAATTTTCTAGAGCTTGATTGTGCTATGTTAACTGCAGAGTACAAAACCAAATACAAAAACAAATATCAAAAAATTAAATTTAAATTTAATTAAATTTCTGTTTTCTCCTCGTTGAGTTGGGATAGAGCCTGAGGGTATCATTTCCCTTTGTTTTTTTGGTGAGGAAGATCAGCACTGAGCTAACATCTGTCCCAATCTTGCTCTATTTTGTATGTGGGATGCCACCACAGCATGGCTTGATGAGTGGTGTGTAGGTCTGCACCTGGGATCTGGGCCCATGAACCCTGGGCCACTGAAGCAGAGGGTGTGAACCTAACCACTGTGCTACCAGGCCAGCCCCCTGAGGGTGTCATTTCCTGGTCATACCCTGCTATTTCAAATTATTAAACTTAGATTATGTTTGCTCCTCTACCCTCTAATACCAGAGAAAGGTTGACAATGAAGACAAAGCAGGATAACGTGACCTGCAGCTGAGAATGCTCTTGTCCCAGACCTTGCTCCAAGGGACATGAACAAGAAGAAGCAAACACACTCTGCAGACCTGTGCCCGAGAGATGCAGGCAGGTGAGCCT